TTGAGCACACGGCATGCTTTAAGGGAAAATATCCGTTAACGTATTTGGGTGTGTGCGATCAGGGAGATTGTATACAACTGCAATGTGGGAAGACATCACTCTTTTCGTCACTGCTTCATCAATAAACTCAAAAACACACTCAGCTTTGGTGAGTTGTTCAAGATTTTTATTGGTAGTAATGACCCATATGTATGTGAAGTGTGCTAATTGATTAAGTCAACCGTTAATTTCGGCCAGAGAGTTTTATAACTGACGGATGTCAGTTTTTCATCGAGCAGTATTTTCGTAAATGTGAGATAAAGTTTTACACTCCTTGGTCTATGGTATTTTGGATTTAGGCCTTAGCAAAGCATGCTGTCTGGTAGAACGTTTTGACTTTTTGATGCAAGTGGATATTTCTCCTTTTATGTCAACTAGTCTGCAATATTAATTATTCTCCAAACGGATTCGCTGTAAAAATGCACATATGTACAACATAAAATTAGAGTTATTTATCTATTATTATGTGATAATTAGGAGCATTTGAATTATAGTACAAACTGAAAATCTCAGAAATAACCGGGAAATACTAGATGAGCACGAACGAATGCGTTGTATTTAAAATTCGGAATCTATCTGTAGTGGGGTACAAAGGAATTGTAAAGGCAGTGAAATGTCATCGAACCGTAACCAAATCGTTCGGCAGTTAGGTCACCGAATATGGAACGGATCATCGATCTCTGTCCAAGTCAAGGACAACAAATACTGATCAGTTAATCGTTAGCCATTAACTGGCTGATGCGGCAGTGGTTCCTTTTTCGCTTGTATTTACTTTAACTAACATATTTCTGCATTAACGTCCTTTGTGTTGTACAGTCTTCAGAGCATCCACAGTCCCTTGATACGTCGATGGGGAAATCCACGTAAGCTGCCAACCGCGAGGTGTGACTTTGAAGTCAGTTGACTCGTCACACCATTGCCGTCTAAATCTAGTGGGGACCCAATCACTCGACAGAAATAATCATCTTTGATGATCTAGAGAATCATTAGTTCATACAAACATAACATCCATCACAGCTTAAATTGGAGTCTAAATACCTGTAATCGGTTGTACATCTTCTCCTTAAGTTCATCCTGTGTGTGTCCGACAGTGTATTGTATGTAGACTATGTATTATCTAGAATGCATTCGTTAGTAGAAAACTGGTCTACTTTCCCTCTCCAAAACTGCACCAATACCCACAGGTGATGCATCAGCAACAAGTGGAGAATGCACACTGGGTGAGTAAGTTGGAAGGACAGCATCACTTTGAAGAAACTTTAGCAGATTTCATGAGAACGACTCTTGTTCCTCACCCCATACGAATGAATTGGATGTCAAAATATTGAATAAACAGTTGGCACGACAAGATAAATTGGGAATAAAGCGAGAATAGTATTAAAGAGCGCCCATTAGTGAACGTAGCTCTGTAGGATTGTTCGGAGACGGTGTATTTGTCAGTGAAGCTAGTCGTTACATACCTGGTCTAAAACCGTTACCATAAACTAAGTATCCAAGGTATTCAAAAAACTAGATACACAAAATGAACACTTTCTTTGATTTATTGTAATATTCTTCTCAATTAAACGACGCAATAAAGCAATAAGTCTCTGGTTATGAACTATTTTATGAGTACCATGAACGATGCGATCATCTTGATGATCTTAAACACCCTCAAGATCACTGACTACCTTATCCATCACTTCCTGAAATATGGCTGGAGCACAAGTTGAACCAAATGGAAGGAAGTTGTATTTGAGCAAATCAAAATTAGTGTTAATTGGTGTCAAAATAGGTGAAGGTTGATTTAAAGGGATTTGGTGATAAGCATCTTTTAAGTGAACTTCCAAAAACACTTTATAACCATGAAATCGATTTAGGATATCTGTATCCTCCATCGTCGTGCATGTTTGATTCAACAAACGGGCGTCCAGTGTTAATCTATTGTCACCGCATAATCTAAGGGTCTTGCCATTCGACTTTAATAGAGTAGCAATAGGTGTGCCCCATGCTGAAAACTGAGCCAGTTCAATTATACCTTTCACACACAAATCGTTCAATGTCTTATATACTGTCTGTCGAGGACTATGAGAAATTATTCAATTGTTAAAAACGATGGATCACCCTGTACCTGAATTTTTAAGTAAAGCACCAGAATTTTCTCTGTAACCTAGTAGAAACAATTTGAATTTAAGCCTTTTCAATTTTTCTAAACCCAGTATTGACTGTCTGTGATGTTTGAATGAACCAATGATTTCTTTGTATTGATGACTGTTTTGATTCTGAATTCCAAATATAGTACGTTCGTTCATGCTCATCTAAAAATTCTTGATTAAATTGCGTTATTGCTGGGATTACTAGTTCATACTGAAATTTATATACTTTTGAACGTCACACAGTCCTGTTTCGCTAACTAAAAAATCCACAAGGTATGTATAAAGAATTATCACCTCTTATTAGCAATTCACAAAATCCTAAGTCTAAGTTCTTGAATGAAATAATGGACTCTGTACTGCCTGTGTCCACAATAAAGTCATGAAATGAACCAGGGAATGTATATAATCGCTTTTGAATACGAGCATTCTTTTTCGAGACTTTGGATAAAGATAAATGGTCACTAGGAACACCCGAATCAACACGATCTAAGTTACAAGGTATCGTATTACTTGCAGCAAGGCGAACAGTAGTTTTGTATACTGACTCAATGTCCCTTATCTTACCACATTTAAAACATTGAGCATGACGAAATGCATATGAATTACGAGGATGAGATTCACCACAGAATAAACATTTACCACATTTGTTATTCGCTCTGCAATTCCTTGTTGAATCAAATTTCGTATTTTTGCGAGAATATGAATCATTATTAACCGGATGGAAGTTTGATCGACCCTGAGATTGCACTCCATCATGACGACTGAGCAAAGTATTCGAAATTTTCATCGACTGGATATCAAGTTCATTTACTGCTTCATAGTTAATACATGCAATTCTAGCATTTTGATAGGAACAGTTTGGCATTCTTAACAGCTCTTTTTCCAGACCCGGTATGTTAATTCCTGCAATTAATCGATCTCTCAGTTGTACATGGAGTTGGCCACCAAAATAGTTTTTGGAAGCTTGTCTTTGCAATCCAAGGATGAATCCCCAAACTTTTTGGTTGTTGTGACGAATCGTCTTATCAAATTTCGCTCTCTTTCACGACATTTAAAACAGGTGCACTTTACATGACCTAATAGTAGCTCCTTGAGAGTTGTATAGTGGAGTGAGATAAGCGTTTTTGTAAATGCCAAATTTTTAATAAACTATAGGCTTCTTTACTGATGAATGTGAGGAAGTGTACCACAATGTTATCACCTTTCACATCTTTCTTGGTCATGCTCCATATGTCAAACCTTTCCAAATAACCCTTAAAAGCTTCAGACATTGAATGATTGTTCAACTGTGTCGCGACGCCATTACGATAGAAGTATTTCAATTATAGTACGAACTAGAAATCTCAGAAACAACCGAGAAATATTAAATAAGCACGAACAAATTTATTGTTTTTGAAATTTGGAATCCATCTTTCATGAAATACAAAGGAATCATTATTTCATAAAAGCACCACAAATTAATAATAAATACACGTTACAACATCTAACAGAATAATGGGAATGCATTCAAATCAGTTTGTGAGTGACACTAAAAAGAGTGTTGATCTCTCTCAAAGTTTGCAGTCCATGCACGTTTTATATCTTGAATATTGCGTTTTCCGACGACCGTATAGTTTATAGAGTCGTTCTTCGTAAAGCATATACCGTTTCTCATTGATCGGTAGAGCTTCTTAACTATGTGTCGCTTGCATGAAATTTGTATTGTTTCTTTCACGAACATCAGCATTTGATTAGGACACCCTTGACCATTTTTCTTCCCCACTAATAACTGATCTCGTAAATGTCAATGAAACGTGGAATCTGACATATCCATTATTGAGAAAATAATTATGGAAGTTAGAATACAATTTTTAAGTTCGTAAATTTATCTATTCAGGTTTTTATTTAACATCTGACAGAAAAACAGCTGAATACTTTTTTTAGATTGTAGCTTCTTTATGTAAGTTACGCTTGACGACTGGATAAACAATGTTATACAAAATTTTAATTAAACACGACGTAAAACGTGATGTAATTCCGTTACTGAAGCATTTGTTCCCGGTCAGTCCTCTGAGATATCTTCAAGTAGATATGGATTATTATTCAGTGCTTGAAAAACGACAGAAGAATAGTATGTACTGCTGAAGCCGCACGACGAGTGATGGAGACAGTTTGGTAAGGACCATAAAATTTTATTCAGGGTCACGGAAAAAATTTTCACCATCGGCTTCCCACGTCAAAATACTGCCAAATACAGTAGGAAGGAAGAAATCAAATTGACTAGGCCCGAAATAGAGAAAAGAAATTACTGCAGTTTATTATCTCCATTCATCTGATACTTCTCAAATCAACAAAACGATATAATGTGACAAAGAAAGTCACCTTTATCTCCTATATTTCATTCAAATAGATATACAACTTTTTATCCTCAAAGGTAAGCCTTTAGTGACACCTTGTATCGCATGCTGAGGACATCTTGTCGATTGTACCTACTTGATAAGTTACTTGGGAAACAATATTATAAATTGATCAACTGAAATCAGTTAATTGGTATTTGCAGACCAGAGAGCTGATGTTAGATTAATTATTAACGTTCATAGTCCTGAGAAAAAGTAACGACTGAAGGAGTTATTACAATTTATATTAATTTTCATAAAGTACCGACCAGTAGATCTACTTTTAAAACTATTCATTTCATTGGACAATATAGGATAAAGAAGTTTTTAAAATGGTACGAAAATTTCTTGACATTAAAGCGTATGGAAATCTCCGTGGTGTAGATGTTATTCTTGCAAAGACATTGGATATTGGACCAAGTTCTATGAATTTTGCATCCACCTCAAGGTCGTTTGTGTGGAAGTAATACCCAGGTGGTTTGTTAATGGAATTATCAGAAAAGTCCTGTCATGTATTCGACTTCAAAATATAGCTCTATAAACACCTTTACATATTGCTTGCGATACGCTTATTTAAACAAGCAGTGCAAAATATCTGTAAACCTAATAAGACTGAAGACTGAACAGCACGTTTTGTAACTGTATCTGTTAATCGCGAATTCACACTTTTTGTGCCTTTTGCCATGACGGCGACGCTGATAACCAATTTTTATTGGAAGTAACCCAATCTCACTATCTTGGGGAAGTTCCGGGGAACTTTGGGTAGATTTTGGAGTTTTCTTCGAAGTTGCAAGAAGTGTGGTAATTATCCCTAGATTTTGGGGAAACATTAAGGAAGACTCAAAATTTCAACAGACATTTTGGCGATTTTCCCCAGACCTGGGGATAATTGGGAGTTTTTGTGCCATCTCAAAGTTTTCTATTGCGGCTTCCCAGAAGTTCACATAAAACGGATAAAATTTCCCCCAAAATGGGGAGTCTGGGAAGGTACATGGACGAATTTGAATCACTTCTTAGTCGAGTTAACATTTTCTAGTTAGGAAACAATTTATGCTAAAGAAAATCGTCACATTTTAGTGGAGATACGACTTAGACGCAATTATCCAACCTATGTATTTAGATTACTAGGATACTCACCACGAACTGAAGTAGGCTATAATTTGAGTAATAGTTTCGCACCGAGACTCGACAAACGTCCCGACACCCTACTTCTGGCCTAGTTCTTCTATGGCGGTGTGTGAATGAGATAATTATTTTTCAAGTTTCTCTGAGGCAAATCATCAAGTTTACTGTCCACTAACAGTCCTATTACTCTGTAATTTCGATAACACAATGATTGTTTAATTACTACCCACCTCTATATGCTTCTCCGATCGCAGGTACTCTCAACAGCGTACGCATTTCAGGTTTTACGTTGTACTGAATCCAGACATTTGTTCGTACCATTATGCATTGTTGAAGTTTTCTAAATTTGTTTGGACTCAAAGTGTTTTGGGCCAGCGGGTTCGGTCAGATATCGTAATATGTATTTTTTTTTAAACTCCCGTTGAAGTTACTCTTTCACCTTGAGTCGCTTCGGCACACTGCATTTCAATCAGTCACGTTTGTATTTGATTTCTTCTTGCTAGTTTATGTATAGATTCACAGTGTTTTCGTGACTAATGAGATGCAGAATGTTTCCTGTGAAAAACTATAAATCTAAACTACCCAAGTAAAAATATTTAAGCTATTACGGTTCATCCGGTTGCCAAAAAATGTTTTTCTGTTTCATATGCGGCTATCTATTTGATAGTTTCCGATCATGATTTTTGGATTTTTCAAGTTTCATTCAGGGTGTGGATGACTAGGAATTATCACTTAATGTAGGTTAAAGACATTCATGACAGTTCTTTAATTATAATTATCCCATTTATTTTATTTTTCAGTTCTTAAATATATTTCTATTTAAAGTGTCGGGTTTTCTGCGAAATAATCACTTCCTACGCCTTGATTTTAATTGGTATTTATGGTGGTTTAAGAACATCTAAAATGACAGATTGGTTTCATAGGAATCACTTAAAGGCTACTGCTAAGTATAATTTCGACGTTGGTGCAGTTGCTAAAGATTTAAGCTGCAAGACTCTGTGCAGGTATGCCTATTGTTTAATAATGTAATAATGAATGGTCATAGTTTTCCATCTATATTTTGACTGGTTAATTTCTATTTCATTTGGGAGCCTTCCCATATATTTACCATCACTAGTTTAGATCATATCAACAGATTGATATGTGAAAATCACCATATATCAATAGACGATATGCTTGGAATACAAGTGTTCGGTCATATGTTTAATCTATTGACCACTTACCTGGATATACTGTTTATGGTTGGTATAAAATCAAGTTGGTAAAAAGCTTGGGATGGATAGATCCAGACAGAATTAGCTTGTTGGGCAGTCGACTATCGGTCTATCCCTTATGGAGTAGCACATAAATACTAGTTGAGATTCGTAAAATAGTCGTAATTTATAGTCGAAGACATTGAGTGATAAAGTATGAAATCCGTCCATGTACGTAGTTGGATAGATTTTCTCTCTTCCTTTAAATGTCAATTTTTCTCATTCTGTACTTTCCATTGTGTGATCTTATTCTCTTCTTCTAAGTTACTTATGTCCATCTTTCTAGAAGAGTTGACTTTTCCTTTCGCCTTTCTTTTCAAACGAGATACGTATTTGTGTAGTTTCTAAGCTGATTAACTAATATATTGACGGATGCGAGATCACGCTGGGGTTTGTTGAGAACTACTGTTATCTCTTGTTTTCAAAACTGTTTCTGATAGCTTATATCAGATTACTTGGACGATGTTCTCTTTAAGATAACAGAAGGATTAATAAACAGTTCTTCGTAATATGTCATGGGCTTTAAATTTGTTATGCTGCTTACACTCAACATCTAGCTTAACTCGTAGTTTCACTCATACATTTTTGATATAGAAGGTACCAGGCTTTCTAAACACAAACTATATATGTTTTTTAGGTATTTGTTCATCAAGAGTTCTTAATAGTTTAGTATAAATATTACTTATTGAATTTAGTTTGGAGATGAAGCTTAGTCCTGTCTCATGAGCAATACGTTTTGCAGTTTTTCTACGACATGAAATCAATTTAATTAAAAAACAGAATTATGTGTTGCACATGTTCTCTTATCCTCACTAATAATCTAAGTATGTAAAGCGCCAAATAGTAACTTTCGAATAAAAGATACTATGTGCATAATTAAGAATTCTTTCAAATTAAAACTTCTTTTCCATAAAATTAACATCAGAGTTTATCTTACAAAATTCTAAACAATTCATTCCATCTATATTCTTTTCTGGATATATTTCTATCACATTTAAAAGTCTGAATTTTCCACGACTACATTCTTTCTCTTAATCATTTGATTTCAGTGACGCTGCAAAACGTCGTGTTGAACTTCTCAAGCTGATATCAGATCCATCAGTACCATGTGAAGCAGTCATAACCTCCTTAAATCGATATTTACAGTTATTAATGGGATTCATTTTGGCAACTGATAATAAAACGCCGTACAGTAAATTAAGAGGTCTCGTTTGTGTGAAATGGTGTGACAGTATAAAGCCAAAGGGTGAACCAATGTATATGAATGTTCTTTTTTCCTATTTTATAACTTAATTAATTTAGCGTTCGCTCAGATTCTATCTTTGAATTATACTCAATACTTTTCAATGTTGCTTTATGGTATACTAAACATGCAGCAAAAGTTGCTTCTAACGAGAAGTAAGTATTGATTTCCGTGTATCTGAATTAAAAATCAGTGTTTCAGAAGATGAAGCCAAGGATGTTCATTTATCACTTAAAACAGCTGCTGGATTATTTAATTTATTACGGACAAAATATATGCATGAGTTCACAGAATTTGTTCCGAACAGTGATATGGATCCAAATATTTTAGATGCCTATATAAATCAGTCTTTAGCAGAAGCTCAAGAAAGTTAGTAGTGTTATGCTTTTTACTCTCATGCTTTAGTTTTTAGTTATTCTTTTACCAATATATCGGCTACATATATGGTTAATTTTCACAAGCCGACTCTACAGCAACACTGATTATTCTTGTATGATCTACAGTTATGGGGAATGACTGTTGCGAATTGATAACAGTAAACTCGTATTGGCCAAGGATTTATTTATCAGCGTAGTTAATGTCTGCTTAAATATATATCGGTTATATATGCATATCTAACTATTACCTATGTTGAACCTCAATGATGTTCAAAGTATAAGTAGGCTGGACAAAACTTAATAATCACGGCCACTCTTGACGCTCATCTAATAAATCGTCCTAAAGATTTCTAAGAGAACAGTAAACAATAACTTGGCTCTTTATTTCAAAGGAAGGAATTTCTTATTAAGGTTGGGATCTCAAGATAGTCACATAATTACTCTTTACGCGGGACTAGCTGAACGGCGAAAAATACATTGCCTCACTGACCCGTATTTATTTGAGATAACTACAAGTTGGCTAATATCAGTTAAGAAGTCATTCTCTTCTATTTAAGTCAGTTACTGTTTATATACCGTAAACCATAAGGCACTTGCAGCTCATGTGCTTACGAATGGTTAAGTCAGTTAAGCCAAAGTTATATAGACCGTTATCTCAGTTAATTGAGTAATTTGCTCGAAACAACACTCTCACTTGTATTTTGCAATCTAACTTTGATCCATTCAGTGATACTTCATACCCGCAGATGAAATGAATCGTCAGGCAGAATTGTTCTTGAATTTAAAACACTAGCTGCTCTACAGGTTTTCGGTGCCATTGTTAAAATTCGAAGAATGAGGAGCTGGTACTGCAGTGTTTCTTTAGGCAGTCATGAGTGAATGTTCTTACGTGGTTATCCCTTGGATCCTCTAGTCACGCTCCAACCAAAACAAGTCCTGTTACGTAAAAGGAAGTATGTTTCTATGGTGTAGGCAGTCGAAAATATCAACCCCTCACACACTTGAAAAAAAGAGGTGTAACAAGTCAAACCGATACACTTTTGTTTCACGTTTTTTATTCTCTCTTTATTTACTTATTTATTTGAAGACAGAAATACTGGTACTAAAGGACACCAAATACATATTCGCTACATAAGTCACTGGATTTGTGTGTGGGCTGTAACACTGCACGGGTGCCCAAACAGAAGCAGGTAGTTTTCTTAGAAGGCCACACTCGTAGCCTTTGAACTAAAGGTCCGATCCACAAGGCAGTGGAGCATCGTGAGGAGATGCAGTCCCGTGGTAGCCGGCGACCAACAATAAGTTCATATGCCGTTTAGTCCTTCAGGATACTGGATCCCATGTCCACTATTAGTTCGAAACCAGGGTTTTCCAACTCTCCTAGGCGAATCCTCTGTGTTCACCAATACGGTTATAGTACCGGACATTCACTTTTCGTCCTCAATTTCGTAAACAATAGTAACTCCGCGAGAAGGTAGTGAGCAGGACTTCCTTGATAGTGACTGTATACACGTGACTATGTGAGAGAATTTAAAGAGAGAGCTTACTCTCCTCACCCTCTACTGTACCAGGGCATTTCGTGGTGGATTGTGTATATAGGGAAAATGTTTGGTAGATACCTGTAGGTACGTTTTTGTATTTTATTTCCAGTTACCTGTTTCCCAATGTCTAATTTCGGAGTTTTAGTTTATTAAATCTCCAGCTTTACAACATACCGTTTTTTGATGTTCCAGTCACTGTTGCCAGAGCAATTGAATTAAAACATAAACCACATTTAATCGCTGGTTTGGCCAATGAAACTGCTAAGTTTTACGAAAAATGTGGTAAGTTCTCAGTTATTTTCGAGTTCAAATTTTAATGAATACCTCATATTTAGTGAATTTTCGCAATGTCTCGTAAAACTAACTCTTTATTTGACTGATAAAAACCTGTTGATGTCTGTTATTTGCGTTAGAAACCCTAAGTTTGAAAAAAGCATCTTGTACTACTGTTTATGGTAAGCTTTTAAAATTCGTTAAATTTTAGTCATCATTAGCAGTGAATAGATATTTTATATGGTAAATCGACTGAAGTTGGATATTGCCATCCATTAGATTATCATCAGTGTAACATCCTCTCTCGAGATATCATGTCTTAGGTTTTGTGACCCTGAATCTCATTTCAGGCGGGTTCCAGAGTTTTATGCCTACATCGATATGTAGTGGTTGCTAGTTTAAGAGTAGGCTGGAAGAAATCTAGTTGTTACCGAACCAAGTCGCAGCCCATAAATTCATTGACTGTTGGATTGAGCCATCTAGGCAACTGTAGATTACCTGGTTGGAGTCCTTACGGTTGTCCTAGACAGTGATCGGAGATGGTTGACATAACTCAATCAGTAACAATGGTGTAGATCCACTTATTCTATGTATTGAAGTACATATACCTTTTCTTTCTCAAAAGTATTCTTTTTAAATCATACTCCCTTTGCATATTGTCAACTACTGCTACGGATATTGTTATAACGTTTACTACTATGTAATTTGTCTCTATAATCTTATCTTACTGTGTGGATGGTGTGTGGCAATTTAGACCAATAAGCATCAGTCAGTCAGCTGCGACGTAGGACCAGGCACATATATGCATCGGTCCAAGTTGCCATACCTCATTAACACAACAAGATGAACACCAAATTCATACAAGCATTACTTCAATGGTGGTAATATGTAGAAGAAAGATTGTATATAAGGATATAATACAGGAAAAAAGAATTAGTTCATAGAAATAAAGACATAAAGTAATTTTCATCTCATGGTTTAAGGGAAGACAAAGAGTGTATACACCTACGCCATTGTGATCGATTCTGAGCCATGTCACCCAGAGTCTCCAACCATTGGTTACGATTGTCGTGCGGACCCCAACCAAATAGTCTGCATCTACCAAAACAGCTCAGACTAGAGGTTAGTGACTTCAAGCACTATTCTAGTCAGCATAGCGCGTCGTGGTAACCGGTGTTCATGCATACTTAACACGTGGCCCAACCATCTCAGTTGATGGAGATTTACAACTTCGTCAACTGATTTACTATCATTCCCTAATACCCTGCGTCTAACCTCACTATTACTTACCCGGTGATCCCAGCAGATGCTGGCAATATTCCCAAGACATCTGTGATTAGATACTAGTAACTTACAAGTGAGTATCTTCTATCGATACGCATGTGTGCCAATTTCTACTTTGTGACTGATTGCTATCTTTCAGTATTAATATAGTCGTCCGTATTTTATCAATTTATAACCACTTTTATAAGCTGTTGATGATGATAATTTGCACTTTCACACGTGTAATCAAACCGATTTATTTCTATGAGCAGTAAAGCATTGACATTGGATTCAGTGGATTCATATCTTGTTGAAACGGGATTTTAACTAGTATATTTTTGCAAAAACTGATACATTAATTTGTTGTTAATAATTAGGACTTATGTGATCTTTATCCCATGCTCCATTCATTTTAGGTTGATGAAGCCTCACTTGGTTAAGTCAATTGGCTTATCTGGATTCCAATTCGCCTTTCGAGACTCACATTGTGGATGTGATTTCGTAGAGAAATCGCTTGAATCCCCGGGTCTTGGCGCGCGGGCGTCGTACCATGGGCGAATCTAGTTTACATGTATACCGGTGACACAAGTTTTCAGTTATGCATCCCTTGGCATCCATATATGTATATTCTATCGGAAGGGGTAAATAATCACCTCTCCCTTCGAAAGCGTATGCTACAACTGACTGTCTTACGCATTACATGCATACCACTGGTGCAAAGACCTTCGTCCATACACTTCATTACCTACACATACGCGTAAGCACTCTCTCAGGGATGATTGATGATCATTTTCCCCTAGTATTTGCTACCATATCTTTTTATTATGTTTTCGACCATTAGAATTAGGCCGCTGATTTTATTAGATATAGAGCAGACATTTTATGAGCTTACGTTTTTTTTGTGTTAACTCACGCATATACCTACATACTTAAACTAAACAAACAGAGACTCATACAATTAATACACATAAACATACACGTCGGGTAACCCGTCACGATTTTTAAAGCCTCGAAGTATGAACTCTGAGTAATCCAAAGTCAACATAGGAATGGTGGGTTAGTTCAATTTCCAACGACCACCCATGTTTGCTAGCAAGGTTGCCCTCGCTAACCAGCAGCTCCATGTGTAGGTTTTGAGTCAATTTTGCTGCCAATCATTGTAAATGTTTTCTTTCCCTTTCTTCAGGTTTGGCTTTAACACAATGTAATCCTAAAATTGTTGGCAAATGGAAAAAATATTCAGAATTTAAACAGTTTTGTTATGAATCCTATGTAAGTGTATAGACTTCATACAAATATAATGAATATATTTTGTCTCTATTAAATAAGATGTTTACAAGTTTTAGATAATTATTCCTTAGTATTATTCAATAGTTTAATATGTTTACTCATGTATTTATCTACAATCTTAGCTATCCATTGTATACCTCCTAAATCATTGGGGATATAAACATCTTAATGTTGTCTATAATAACATTATTCATCCACTTGAGTAAACCGATTCTCTATGTATACATGTTTTCTTCCTGAATCCTTGTGTAATGTACTACTTGAATTTCGAGCAGATGATATAGTCCTGCTTGGTAAAGACACTGATAAAATTCAGTCTCTTGGTAGCACCCAGCAATAATGCCATGATGTTTGTAATACCTTTATCCCCCTCTAAATGGTAAGCGTTGCTTCAGGACTGGCCTGCGTCAACATCTGAAATAAGGATAGGAAGTGAAGTAGTCTGACGCGTCGACAACTTCATTCAGCAGTATGGGGTTGTGGAGATTACTATGTTTTTGACTGAGTTCATAAACTGGTTAATGTTAGGTCACCATTTAAAACCTGAGAGAACTGGACGGCCGTTTCGTCTTATTGCGGGACACTTCAGCAGTGCGCATCCACGATCTCGCTCGCGGGATTCGAACCCAGGGCCTTCGGTCTCTCGCGCGAACACAATCTCTAGACCACTAAGCCGGCATCCAACGGTGTTAGCGTCCAACGCTTCCAGGTTTTCAGTGGTGGTCTAACATCAATCGGTTCATGAACTCTCATAAACATAATCCTCACAACGCCATACTAATAATCACCATGTGCTCTCTAGTGACTAGCTTCGTGATCGAATTCTCGGAGTTCTAGTGAGAAACTGTGACCAGTGGAGCTAATCTGTGTCAGGTCAAGACAGGTATCTACTTTAGTACTATGGAAGATGGTCGCGCAATTTCGTGGATCGGTGAGTAGTCCCACAATAGGACGAAACGGCGGTCCAGTGCTTCCAGGTTTTTAATGGTGATCTAACATCAATCAATTCATGATCTCAATCAAAAACTTCACTTATCTTGGATGTGTGGTCAGTCCTAATGCGTTGGTGTCTGACGATGTCGCTGCACGGATTCAGAAAGCTCGTTTCGCTTTTGCCAACTCACGTCACTTATGGCGAAGACGAGATATTCGTATATCAATTAAGGGACGAGTATACTGTGCTGCAGTTCGCTCTGTTCTACTTTACGACTGCGAAACATGGCCATTAAGAGTAGAAAACATTCGTAAGTTGCTAGTAGCTGAACACAAATGTCTTAGAAATATTACCAGCATCTGCTGGGATCACCGGGTAAGTAATAGTGAGGTTAGACGCAGGGTATTAGGGAATGATAGTAAATCAGTTGACGAAGTTGTAAATCTCCATCAACTGAGATGGTTGGGCCACGTGTTAAGTATGCATGAACACCGGTTACCACGACGCGCTATGCTGACTAGAATAGTGCTTGAAGTCACTAACCTCTAGTCTGAGCTGTTTTGGTAGATGCAGACTATTTGGTTGGGGTCCGCACGACAATCGTAACCAATGGTTGGAGACTCTGGGTGACATGGCTCAGAATCGATCACAATGGCGTAGGTGTATACACTCTTTGTCTTCCCTTAAACCATGAGATGAAAATTACTTTATGTCTTTATTTCTATGAACTAATTCTTTTTTCCTGTATTATATCCTTATATACAATCTTTCTTCTACATATTACCACCATTGAAGTAATGCTTGTATGAATTTGGTGTTCATCTTGTTGTGTTAATGAGGTATGGCAACTTGGACCGATGCATATATGTGCCTGGTCCTACGTTGTAGCTGGCTGACTTGAATTTCGGATCTTGAGTGATTTTCATGTTGAATTTTAGGTATATATCACAAATAACTTTTGTACTTCTTTGTATTATTAGTGTTTAATAATTTCATCTTGTTTATTCGTGTTCGACGGTCACATATATTGATGGTTAACTCAGATTTTTGTACACAATAATAACACTTGATCAGCAACACTAAACGAAAGAAGGAAATATCTAAAGTAATGCTTTTGGTGAAGCAGTATACTTACAATTAATTTCAGTATTTAAATAGTAAAAATAAGCCTAACTATGTTCATGTGGGTGGCAAATTTGCCTATGTGAACAATCTCATTACTCGTTATAACTCATACTTATATTTGAATCACCATAATTTTGAAACATTGGCATTTCACTTGACGCGTTGAATTAACTCGATATTTCATTTATTCAACAACATAGTATGATGAAATCACTATTTAATCATAAGTGTTGAACACTTATTTTTAAATTCCTTCATTGGAAATTAAGTGTATGTTCTAATTTATTCAATTTCACAACTTTGTTATATGATGAAGAGACTTGCAGCTCTATAATGTATGCTATGATTTTTGTTATTGTTAAGCAGTTATTTGTTATTCAGTAGGTCATGTTGTTTAGGTTAATTATCTTGCACATAAAAAAGGTATTTTCTTTACTCTAATGAATATGTAATTAGCCCGCAGTTTTGTTTTCTTCTGTTCATTTAATTTGAATTTAAGTGCTCGATCCCATGAAAGAAATAAGTATCTGTTCATCTTAGTGATGTCAGTCAGTCAGCTAAAACGTATGACCAGGCACATTTATGCATCGGCCCAAGTTGTCATACCTTATTAGCACAACAAGACCGTTGCTGCTACCTTGACGTGGTGGTCGGGCTTGCCTATCGTGATGGACCAATCGAGCTATACTGGCTGGAACGATCGTTCCTCAAGGTCCTACCATGCCAGACAGGTCGGTTGAAGAGCGGTAAGACTAAAAGCAGCAAACCCAAGGTCCGAAGACGAAGTCGTACTGTTGACTGTAGAGAGGTGTGACAGCAGTACGGTGTTTCCTTCAGACAACCAGCATAACAGCGATGCTGCCTTCCCACAAGGAGTGGTGGGGTTAGAAAAGGTCGACCCTAAAACTGTACACCTCGCCTTATCCCACGGATATTCGTCTCTGGCGATAAGGTCCCAACAAGTACGGAGCTAACACAAAACTTACTTACTTACTTACACCTGTTACCCCTCGTCGAGGAGCATAGGCCGCTCACCAGCATTCTCCATCCAACTCTATCCTGAGCCTTCCTTTCCAGTTCTTTCCAGTTTCTATTAATTCTTTTCATATCTGCTTCTATTTCCCGGCGTAGTGTGTTCTTTGGCCTTCCTCTTTTCCGCTTCCCTTCCGGATTCCAAGTTAGGGATTGAGTCGTGATACACATTTGTGATTTCCTTAATGTATGTTCGATCCACTTCCAACGTCTTTTCCTAATTTCCTCTTCAGCTGGAAGCTGGTTTGTCCTCTCCCATAAAACGCTGTTTCTGATAGTATCCGGCAATGGATGCTTATTATTTTGCGTAGATAACTTTATAAATACTGGTACCTTCCTGATGATGGTCGTAGTAGTTCTCCACGTTTCAGCTCCATACAGTAGGACTGTCTTCACGTTCGTATTAAAGATTCTGACCTTCAAATTAGTTGAGATTTGTTTTGAGTTCCATATGTTCTTCAACTGTAGAAATGATGCCCTTGCTTTGCCAATCCTCGCCTTTACATCTGCATCTGATCCTCCTTGTTTATCAACGATGCTTCCCAGGTACTTGAATGTTTCCACCTCTTTCAGGGTTTCGCCATCAAGTGTGATTGAGTTGGTGTTCTCCGTGTTGCATTTGAGAATCTTTCTTTTTCCTTTGTGAATGTGGAGGCCTATCGATTTGGAGGCTGCTGATTCTGAGAAGTCCATTGTATTCCGTATTTCCTTTCAGATGTCGAATTCTTCATAATCCAGTCAATCACTAGAAGGAAGAGGAATGGGGAGAGTAGACAGCCTTGTCTGACTCCGGTCCTTACTGGAAATATTTGCATATTTGCAGTTATTTCAATGTTTGACTTCAGTGCTTCTGCTGGTATATTGTCAGGTCCTGCCGCCTTTCCACTTTTGATTTGTCTGATCGCCATCTTGACTTCTTCGATCGTTGGTGGAGTGACATCTATTGGAAGGTCAGTGTGGGCTGGTTCGATGTTCGGTGGGTTCAATGGGGTTGGTCTATTCAGCAGTTCCTCGAAGTATTCTGCCCATCTTTTCTTCTGTTCTTGAATCTCAGTGATTGTCTTTCTTTCTTTGTACTTAACTGGTCTCTCTGGTTCGCTATATCTCCCTGCCAATTTCTTTGTTGTATCATATAGTTGTTTCATATTCCCTTCTCTTGCAGCTTTTTCCGCCGACGTTGCTAGTTCTCCCATGTATTTCTGTTTGTCGGCTTTAATGCTTTTCTTCATTTCCTTGTTTGCTTCTGCGTAGTCTGCTTGTGCTTTGTCTTTCTCTGCTCGTGTTCGGCTGTTGTTAACTGCTAGTTTCTTGTTCTTCCTTTCTCGAATTTTGTCCTTTCGTGAGCACTTTGCTATAATTGATTGCAGCCTTTCATAGAACTGATCTTTATCATCGTCGTTGCTATCATTGGTGGGTGCATAACATTGGATAACGTTCATTGTGATCCCTTGCTTCTTTGTTCTGAATGATGCTTTGATTATCCTGGGTCCATGAGATTCCTATCCCACAAGTGCATTTCGTGCTTCTTTGGACAGCATTAGAGCAACTCCCTGAGTGTGTGGAGCATTTCCCCCCTTGTGACCGGAGTACAGCAGCATCTCTCCTGTACCTAGCATTTGTTGTCCAGTTTGTGTCCAATGGGTTTCGCTGATTGCGAGCACTGCCAAGTTGTATCTCCTCATTTCCATTGCTATTTGACTGGTCTTTCTTGTCTCCCACATTGTTCGGACGTTCCATGTACCTATAAAGAGTGTTGCTCTGGTTGTTAGAAGGTGCATCGGTCTCATGACTTCCGAAGAATTTCGGCTTTCATTATGAGACGTCATAATTATTCCTTCAACTTGGAGGGCAGAGTTTAAATGGATTGAATTATTTTTTCTGGTTAGCGTTTTTTTAGCGAGTTAGTTTTTCTATGGGATGGGGTCGCTAACCCCATGCCCAACCCTCCTACTTTACCCGGGCTTGGGACCGGCAGTAACTCTAGAAAAGTTACAGGCGGAGTTAGCTAACACAAAAACTACCGATAGACCAGATCGGTTAAGGGCTTCGGCTCGAAACTGGTAGGTCCTGGGTTCGAATTTCGCGCGAGCGGCTTCGTGGATGCGCACTGCTGAGGAGTCCCATAATAGGACGAAACGGCCGTCCAGTGTTTCCAGGTTTTCCATGGTGGTCTAGCTTCAATTGACTCATGCTTTAAAACTATTATATAATTGTCAAATATTTGAGTTGTGTAATCGGCTGTAATTTTCTTATTTCACTTCAGTGAAAATGGAGTAAATTTTTTAAAAACTTAGTCCAAAAAGGTTTTAAGATACAAACCTTAACTCACGATTATTCATTCGAAATGCATCAAAAATGTATGACCATAGCGTTACAAAATCAAAATTAGGAATCTCTTTTATTGTCCAAAGAAGGTTTTTACATTTGAAGGAATAAGTTTTGTAGTATATATTTAATCTAAGCACTCTTACGGCTCATTGTAAAGTTGTAAAGTTATTCTAGGCTGAAACATTCCTAGATATATCTTTTTTGAAATGCGTTAAGAATAATTGAAGTCGCTAATAATCTAAGTTATTTGTATTTGTCTTAATCTTTTTTGTCAATATTTTACACCTTCTGAACTATTGATGTTTTACACCTTTCTGTAAACCAGCTCATAATCCTTACGTTTGATTTCCTTAACCTGCGTAAAATGTAAGTTATTTTAGTGTTCGTCATGAAGTTCTTGTTTTTGGGAGCTAATGAAAAGCTAACAATAACTTGAATTTTTATTACGACAATATTTCGATGGTATTCTTTTTACATATTGAGATAGTGAAGATTTGTAGCTCAGGTGGGTGATTTTGATGAAGGTTTGTTCTCTGAGCTGGATGGTTTGGTCGTGGAGCTTTCATCGTCCTTCTGAACGACACCATCAGCACAAACTTCGGGTAAAAGTGAAGTATTTGAATTTCTCCACATCAACCAATCATTAAAATTATGCAGAAGTACAGGAACAAAAATCAAACTAATAGGAGATACAACCAAAACAAAGAAATAATAGATTTAAGGTCAATAAGAACCAATCAACATCGAGGTGCACAGGACAAGCTGTGAATCACATGTGGAGGAATTCAAACACTTCACTTCTACCCGAAGTTTGTGCTGATGATGTCGTTCAGAAGGACGATGATAGCTCCACGACCAAACCATCCAGCTCAGAGAAAAAACCTACATCAAAATCTTTTTAAATATCTTTCAGAAATAATATTTATTCAGAAGTAACTTACAACCCGGCACCTATTAAAATGTTATCTTTGATTCCTCAAATTTAAGTTATTTGGTTTACAAATTAAGTGTTTCTAGAAAGTTGCTAAAATGTCTAGATAACATTTTAATTCTACATCGATAACCGTTTTGGCAGTCAGTTTTTCCCCAAAACAAATTTCTGAATAATTGTTATCTCGAAAGCATTGTCAACCTCATTTTTTACATCGTCTGTTTATTAATCATCAGTATTGTCTTTATTGTCATAAGTAATACGGTCCATCACTATCATTCTTTAATTTTAAAATGTTTATTTGGGATAGAAGTGGATCCAACCTACATATTGTACACCTAAATGTTCATATTTATACATATGCTTTGATGTGTATTTAATTTAGTTTAAATTTATTTTTTTTAATCATTAACGGCATCAAACTACTAGCCATGATTATCATGTGTTACTAACCTTTATTAGAATGGCAGTTTTTGTGCTGTATTTATTTCTATTAACGAAAATATGTTATCTCATTTGTTATTTATTGTACATTTCGTTTTATTGCTCAATCAGTGACTTGCTGTCTGTTACATAACTCAACCATAACTTTTTCGGTTGAACATAGCGAATTTATAGAGGATAGTTTTAATTTAAAGTTATGCTGTCTACTGATATTTTTTCGATAGGAATTTGAGCATAATTTCCGTTAGCAAATTATCAGTTCGGCTAACTTATTCACTCCGGTACTTTCACATAGTTCATTATATCTTCGTAATGCTATTGTTACCTATCAGATCAGTTTCTGAAACCTCTCTCCCTTCATATGTTGCATTAGTAAACTGGTTTACAACTCCATACATTATTTGGTCATTTAGAAGCAAACTGATGATATTTATAAACATTAGGGCCTTAGGCCGTATGATGAACTAGGTAAGCTATATAGTGTGTAAAAAAAAGTTACTAATAAGAAAATAGCTAAATAAACGTAATCGAAGCAATCATTCTCCTGCTTTCGATATTCCAATTCGGTAAAGATGAATTTAGGAGATCCTTCACTGTTCGGTCTCCACCTTTTATCTTGTACTGTGACGTCAGTGTAAGTACACTTTATGTATGTTATTAAGTTTAATTTTTATTGTAGGTTAGCAGTTTTATAATGAGTAATAGATAAATCAACGTAGGATCTATGGAAAATAGCATTATCTTATGACGAAATTAATCTGTATCAAAGAGATCCTGGTAAAGAGCAACATAATTTTGATGTGATTTCTCTAATATTGTGGTGTTGTCTACTTATACCTATATAAGTAGTATATGGTGTGGGTCAGACATAGAATGTATTTTGTCAGAAGACCGATGACGAAAGAACTGAAATGAAGCGCAATCGCTTGGAAAATGCATGAGCAATGGAATAAGAGAAGAAACAGTGAAGATTGAAACAATTGGTCGTTAATTTGCAAATTGATTGTTCATTGTTTGGTTATCAGAATTTACTGAGATAGTCTGTAATGTTTGCTTAAATACATTCGATTGTCCCCAACTAGTGTTTTGTTCACTACAATATTATCCGCGGAATTTGTAAATTTAGATTATATGTGAATATTTTTGGTTTATATTTGTTCTGAAGTTCCTTTTTAGGGAGGTAAGCAATCCATCCATAGTCTTGATCTCTACTTTGAATATTATTTGTAGAAAAAAAGTCAATAAAATCATGATAATCATTCCATTGTTTGTTAACCATAACTTTTATCAAAAATAATGTATATTTTTGTACATTTAACTACGTGGTTATTTCATACGTCATCTAACTTAATAATTCGTCACTACAAATGCAGCGTTATTAGTGTTTAAATTCAATTTTCATCTGTCAGAAATTTATTTTTCTTAAAGGCATATATTTACTATGGTGAGGACTTATTGGAAAACGGAAAGGCAGGTCAAGCTGTGGCAATTCTTAAAGAGGCATCTACTCGTAAGTTATTGTTATGATTATCTGATTTTAGGACATTTATCAAGTGAAGATAATTGAATGTTTTGCATTCCTAACCACTGGCCCCAAAATGCCCTGGTACGGCCGAGAGTGGGGAGAGTCCGTTCTCCCGCTCCAAATGCTCTCACATGGCCAGCGAATATATAGCCTCTGTCAGGGAAGTCCTACTCACTGCCTTCTCGTGGCGGGGGTGTTGTTTACCAAAGTGAGAGGACGAAAAGCGAATGTCCGGCGATTTAACCGGGTTGGTGGACACGGAAATTCCACCTAGGGGAGTTGGAAAACCCTGATCCCAAACCAATGATACACATGGGCTCCAGTATCCTGAGGGAACAAATGGCGTGTGAATCAATTGTTGGCTACCGGCTACCATGGGACTGCATCTCTTTACGATGCTCCACTGCCTTTTGGATTAGACCTTTAGGTCAAAGTCTCGGGTGTGGCCCCTTAAGAAAACCACGTGCTTCAGTTTGAGTACCTGGGCAGTACCACAGCCCTCACACAAGTCAAATGAAATTTGTGTGGCGCATATGTATCTGGTGCTTCCTTGTACCAATATTTATGTGTTTAAATAATAATAATAATAATAATAATAATAATAATAATAATAATAATAATAAAACCACTGGCAACCTCTATAGGTGATGTCAGCTTGTGTAGGTGTAGTTTAAATGTAACGTTAAGGGTGACCAAACAAAAAACATGATATCAATTTAAGAATTCATTCACTGTCGGTTTGAATCATGTTGATGTATGCAAACTACTTGATTGAGGTTTTCACGATAATTGTTATCGGGTGTAGGAGAATCTGGGTGACGGCTCAGAATCGTCTACAGCGTGGTCGATGGATTCACTCTTTGTCTTCGCGTAGATCTTGTGTTCCCGTATATCGTCATGCATATCTTCCTATTCCTTTCAGAACAATATTGTCAATGTTCGCACCTCTTGAATATCCCTGATAATATAGCTGTTGACTATTTTTATTATCATTATGTTGATTTCATCTCGTCGTCCTTATATGGTATGACATGTTAGACTAATAAGCATTTGTCCCTAGCTCTAAGATGATTGATTAATCAACTGAGAATCTAGTTCAATTACACCAAAGTGTTGGGCGGCTCAGTATTTCAATATAGAATTAATATTATACCCAACACTCCCCTACTTGCTAGTGTGTTTGAGAAAATATCAGCTTTTGGCAAAAATAATCTTTAATGTTTCCACAACGTCTCTATCGGCTAAAATAATTTTCCGTCTATTGTATATATATATATATATTTTAAAGCATATGAGAAGGCAGTTCGTGCTGCACGTGAATACACAAAAGTTGAAGGTGTCAGTTTGTCAACTAAACCACCTGATCATTGTTTTTTCCGTCGTCTGCCTGGACTAATTCAACGCGCACATAATAAATGTGAACGTGATAATGGATTAATGTAGGTTATTGTATGTTTTCAAGTTATTAACCTTGATCAGTATTTTTTCATGAATGATATCATTTTTAACCATATAGTTGCAAACTTTGGTCCATTCAATATGTGTTTGGCTGTAGAATCCAGGACACATGTTTTGCCTCATTTTCCAACTCGTCAGCTGGATGTACCTGGATCCCAGGGTTGATGTCTACCACGTAATTTGAACCCAGTAACTTTCGCTCCATCACGTTATCCACTTAGCTAATGAATACAGATAGCCACAAGTATGTGTTTCAGTTCAATTTGTAATGGATTTGGATTATCGCATTGATCAAGACTGATGAAATTATAGTCGGAATATCAACAACGGTTTAACTCAAAACCATCTAAAATTAAATAGTACCTTTCGCTTTATACACCCTGAGGGTTATCCACCGAGATACTTTAGTAAACGAGAATTTCATCATTTGAATAGAGAATTTCGGATTGTTGAAATCAATAAATGGAATGTTGATTGACGAATGATATATACAGTGATACGAAATGTTGCTGAGTAATGGCTGATCATAAGACCATATTGCTAGTCTAAGCCTCTTAATTATTTTAGTTCAATTAAGACTTAATTATTAGGATACTCTTGGTCATCATTGTATCAGCTACTGAGGAAATGGTACTGAGTTCGAGTCTTAATGTGAACATCACAGGTCCAGTTACATTCAACAGAAAAGTGCCAAATAAGATGTAACTTGAATCATGGACCTCACTGATAGCTACTCACAAAATATACTAAAATTTATGACACAACGCTGTATCAAGGCAATCAGCTCGGGATGCGCGTATCTCAGTTAATTTTTAGTCTGCTTCAAGTTTACAAAACTGTAGAAACATTTTAAACCCTTTTGCGATTTACATCTTTAAATTTCTGCTTATTTTCTGAAGTGAAATTAAGTATAATATTAGCAATATCGATTAAATGAATATAATCATATTTTCTTAATGATAAGTCAACCAGTATCATAATAGTTTTATCACAAGATATACCAATATTGAATGTTCTAGTAATGTGAGTTGTAATAGGTTTGTTTAAAATTGTAAATTACTTAAAAGGTCATGACGATACATAATTTTGTCAAATATAGAGTAGTTTATCGGTTGATCAGTTTTACTGAATTATATTTACTTTCAATGAATGAAATAATTGGTGAATGTGTGATTCATTGCATCTAAATTTCAAAATGGAATCTATTTCTTTTGTTGTTGTGAACATTATCTAAAGTTCTGTCAAATATTATTTGCATCTCTAAGTATTTAGAATTATTTATACATAATGAATTATAAGTATTTTAAAGAGGTTAGAAAATTTTGAATCTGAGAATCTTCAATTCAGCAATACACTTAGTAATCATGTATAGGTTCGTTATGTTTAGTGTAGCCGGATACATCGACAATCATTCTTTGGTTAATCACGGTTTTCTTTGACCCGATGCATCAGTTTGAATTGGTAGATCTACGTGAAAATTGTTCTTTTTCTGGTTTGTTATTGGGTTGGGCTTATGATAAGTTCTAATTATGACCGATCAGGATTCTTCTGATACACATATCACTTCAGCAATAATTTCTAGTATGCAACCCAGGAAGGAGCAAAGAGTTCAGGCAAAACTTGTGATGTTCGAAAAAGTTGAGAAGTCATTGTTGAAATAGAACTACTCTTTATATATATACTAATATACAGTGATCTTGAGACAATAAAATTGACAAACTGCAAGGCAAAATAACCATATAGATGATCTAACAGCAAATGTGAGTTAGAAAAAAGTTATCGCGGTTATCTCTACCGGCTGGAATTAGCATTTATTAACAAAAACTGGGAAATTTGAAGTTTTTCTTTCAAAAATAAAACCTTGTCTCTTCACTTGAATTATTTTGCAGTTTTCGCTGTACATTTGGGGAATTTTTCAAAAAAGGTGTAATCGTTAAAAGCTATCGTTTGTTTACTTTCGTTACATTAGTATTCATAGCTCTGCGTTGCCTTTTACTACTCTTTCCTTACTTTCAAGTTGAATCACATTATCAACCAATTGAGTTCCTTAGGTATTTGGATGCCACATATAATTAATCTTTATATAAATCTGGGCGTCGTTTGAGATTAATGAACTTTGTCTGACACTTACTTCCTCCAATTTTCATATTACCGGTATGATTTCGTTGGACAGTATTGGAGCATGAACGGTTTCATAGGTCTTGATATTGCAGTGTCGGTTTTGATTGAGATATACTGATAATATCTGTTACTTAATATTTTTGTAAAGTTAATTATTAACAGCCCCCAAATGCCCTGGTACTGCCGAGAGTGGGGAGAGTCCGTTCTCCCTCTCCAAATGCTCTCACATGGCCACGCGAATACATAGCCTCTGCCAGAGAAGTCCTACTCACTGCCTTCTCGTGGCGGGGGTGCTGTTCACAAAAGTGAGAGGACGAAAAGCGAATGTTCGGCGCTTTAGCCGGGTTGGTGGACATGGAAATTCCACCTAGGGGAGTTGGAAAACCCTGATCCCAAACCAATGATGCACATGGGCTCCAGTATCCTGATGGAACGAATGGCGTATGAACCTGCTGTTGGTCACCGGCTACCATGGGAATGCATCTCCTTACGATGCTCCACTGCCTTGTGGACCAGACCTTTAGGTCAAAGGCTCCGAGTATGACCCTCTAAGAAAACCACCTGCTTCAGTTTGGGCACCTGAGCAGTATCACAGCCCGCAAACAAATCGAATGAAATTTGTGAGGCGCATATGTATCTGGTGCTTCCTTGTACCAATATTTATGTGTTTAAATAAATAATAGTTATTAACTAATAACCTGCTATATCGCATCACAACAAGACAGAAATATATATAAACTATTGAATTTGATTTGTTTTCATAATGGATTATGAATTATTCAGAAAGTAATATTTTCTCACATATTTTTTCATAAAAGCAGTATTTATATTAAATTCTATAGTTGTATTTTAAAAAGCTTCGTTTCTAATGTGCTTTCGAATAGTTCTCAACTTTATCGTGAAAATTTTTCGCCTTCTAAAGGTTCACTGATTATTTTGAGAATGGTTTATGTTTTGTGTCATAACATGGAGTTTGACCAGATTACGTTAACATAGACACTTGTCTGACCGTTAATCAGGGACTAGATATCAATAGCCTTATGTATATTGGCGCAGGTACAGAATCCCAAGAAGACATCTACAATATCAAGTTAGTCCATCATACATACTGTGCATAGAGTTGTTTTTTTTTACTCATTAGCCAATCACCAACTGTATTATGTGGACACATTTTGTCACGTAACAGTGAATATTAATTTGTTGCGCTTGCGTTACCGTTTTAATATTTGCTTTACAGTGACAATTCAAATCTTAACTTATTTGTTCCTGGATAATCTTTTGAATTAATTTAGATATCATCAGAAAATTCCAAGTGTCGCGCCATTTTTGGAAATAAAAGCGGAGTATGGCATTGCAGCGCCCAAAGAACCTGAGCTCAATTTCGAGTTAGATCCCAGGTGGAAAGACGCTTACGTTGGGTTTGATACTACCAAAGTAGTGGAGAATATTTTATCAAACTCTGTAAGTTAACTGTCTGATACCACTATAGGTTTCCCAGTAGTGCTTACTATCGCAATATCACAACACTCGTTTGTATTCTTAATAGGACGAAACGGCCGTCCCGGTTTTCCATGGTGGTCTAGCTTTAATTGACTCATGCTTTCATCTATGAAAAATACTAAATCTCCACAAAACCCCTTCTGGTAATTAGTATTCATTTTTGACAAAAAGGCCAAAAACCGCGACTTACCCGTCTTTTCTCTTAACTATGGATCACTTGAGATATCTGGTTCTTAAATGCTTGGCATTAACATCATAATCGCTTCCTTGTTCCTAAGGGATCTCCTACAATTGGTCCTCCAAGAGAATACGAACGGTATGAGGTATGCAAAGAATTTGTACTTCCACTGTTAGTTTAGGTACAGAAAACATGAATATTTATATGTTTGTGTTGTGATCTTCATATCCTAGTAGCTCGTGGAAAAATGCTAACGATAATAACAGAATCGATTATTATCGAGTCAAGATATGACAAGTAATTTGTTGTTTTCCAAAGTTTATATTAATCCCTGACAGAACCAAGTTTGTTTTATCTTTTCTCAGATTCCGAAAACTTTCCCAAGTAAATTTCCACGTCTCTCGATACCACTACTTAAAACTAAATCTACATACGTCGGTTTAAATAGTTAGTGTTACCCAACACACGTGTATAAAATCACTGGGTAGTGCAAAAATTTGTGTGTACTTCCAAGGTTATATATTGTTTTTTTAACATTTTGAAGGATCTTTTTATCTTCTTTTCCCAGTTTTATGTACAAAGGCTGTTGTTTTATGTGTAGTTTTTAGAGAATATGTATCGTTTGGTGGAAGCGTTTGAGGGATTTCAAGGTCACAGCGCTAATTTAAGTACCTGATGCTCATGTACGATCGGTTCACATAGAATTTCGGAGACTTGACAATTAAGCGGCTACAACAAATGAAATCACTAAGATGTTCCTATTTTGTAATTACGAGTATTAAATGACTTGTAGACCTTGTGCAGACTACCGTGATGTTGTCCTTCGATGTAATATATGTTGAAGGAAGACGTTTGCGAGAATAGGAACCTTTATCGCTCGATCCAGATTTAGACTAAGGCATATTATAATAATTGTCGCCAACTGTATAATAAAAGCACCAGTAACATTGGCTGCAATATTCGCAGATGCTACTGAAGCCTCGGCTGCTCAGTGGTATGAGTATTGTAGGGACATATCCATAATAAAAATGATGAACTTACACAACCGGAGTACACACATACAATAATGAATCTATGTGGTCGAGTCTGGGAGGGTTTTTGTGACCTTATCATGGCTCCAGAGACCAACTATTATGAAGCCATATGGATGAGTTCCTCTACCTTATCCAATACAATTTTAGAACCTTTGAATCTTTCTCTAACCTTGACAAGCTTTTAGACCATATAAAATAAGTGCATCCACTTTAATTCTTCGGTCATGTATAATATATTTTTACTATACACTGACTGTCTACTGATTGGCTAACATTTCTCAAGGTCACCTAAGTTTCGTTCGAAGGTCGTCCGTAAATTATAGACTCGTCATAAATTTAAAGCTTTTTAATCGAACTTTCAGTTTTCATTAAGTAAATAATATTCCTGTTACTGCTTTCTCCAAATAATTAGGAGCACAACAAATAGAAATCTTATCAATTATGAATAATTAAACGAGTGTTTATATGCGTGAACATAAAATTCGATCCCTTTTTCAAGTTTTACCTTAAGGAGAAATGTTTAAACAGATTATTTCGCTGTTTTCGACTACACTTATACATATGACAGATTTTCTTAAGTCTGTTTTTCATTTCTGTATTTTCTGCTGATGGATTAAGTCTGTTTGATTTTATTTGAGAATTCTAATTCATACAAGGTAATGGCAAGCAGTACAGCTTACGTTTCTACTTATATATTTTTTGGAACCCATTTCAATAGTCGATTCATCCATGTCTCTTTAAATTGTTTTAATTTGTACGTATCTTCTAATACTAGATGTAAACTACTGGGAATCGCTAAATGTTTTATTGTCTCTTAACGGCGAATTCCGACCTGATCACTCATGTTTCATATTAAACAAGTTCATTTTGGAACGCGATTTATTTAGTAACTTCATTTGTCAAAATCAATATTTTTCGCACGTAGTTTATACTTGAATTTATGGAGGAATAATGAAGAAGAAATCTACTTAATGATAGAAGTCGAATTGATTTATAAATTAACTGACGAAATGGGGTACCTAGAGAATGATGTTTCAGACTTCTGCTTTACGTACTTTGTAATGTCCAATCATTAGTTTAATAACATTATGGATAAGTAGGTTTCGATTCTGTCAGATAATTCAAACTCAAAGATGAAGTATGATAAAAAAAATTGTTCATCAGTGATACTTCTTAGTGTGAGTGATGCGCGACCGTTGCTGCTACCTTGACGTGGTGGTCTGGCTTGCCTATCGTGATGATCCAATCGAGCTATGCTGACTGGAACAATCGTTCCTCAAGGTCCTACCATGCCAGACAGGTCGGTTGAAGAGCGGTAAGACTAAAAGCAGCAAACCCAAGGTCCGAAGACGAAGTCGTACTGTTGACTGTAGAGAGGTGTGACAGCAGTACGGTGTTTCCTTCAGACAACCAGCATAACAGCGATGCTGCCTTCCCACAAGGAGTGGTGGGGTTAGAAAAGGTCGACCCTAAAACTGTACACCTCGCCTTATCCCACGGATTTCCGTCTCCGGCGGTAAGGACTTTTGAAGAACGGAGCTAACACGTCAAAAATCCCCCACAAAGAGGCCGTGCGTGACCGGCCTCAAGCAGTTGTCCCTTGGGCACTGCGGTCACGCTCCCAGGTCGTTAAGACCAATACTAATCCAACTTCTTTTTCAGGTCCCTCAAGAAATACCCTTCCACGGTGTGGGCAGCCGGGAAGTGATACTAGCCCTCATACCCTTAACTGCACACGAGACCAAGTTGGTCACTTTCAAATCCTTCCTACACCTAATAACTCTGTTATCTCCACGACTAACCCTTCCCACATCCTTTTATCACCTCGCACCGCTAGGGCAAACGATTCGAGTACACAGAACGTTATTCCTGGTCTCCTGAAACCACGCTCTAAACTACATGTAGGAACTTGTAATGTCCGAACATTGTGCCAAATAAGACAACAGGCTTCCTTAGCTAGGACTCTAGAATCTTACACCATCGATGTGTGCTGCGTCTCCGAAACGCGCATACAAGATCCGAGTAGTGTCATTCATTTGACCGCACCTAATCAAAATAAAGATTCATCTCGATACACGCTTCGTGTATCTGGAAGCCCTGATGCTGCTTCCCGTGGCCTCGCTGGAGTAGGTATAGCATTAAGTCCTAGGGCAGAACTAGCTCTTTTAGACTGGATCCCAGTAGACAGTCGTCTATGCGCTGTCCGACTAAACGGATCAGTAAGGACCCGGAAAGATAGGGAAACTCGTCGTTGCCTCTTCGTCGTCTCTGCCTACTCTCCCACTGACTGCAGCTCAGACGATATAAAAGATGAGTTCTACAGGAAACTTTCTGACCTTCTCCGAGAAGCTAGGCGTTCTGATGTAGTAATAGTAGCAGGTGACTTTAATGCTCAAGTAGGTAAACTAAGTGAAAGGGAAGGACACCTGGGTGGATCTTATGGTGTCATGGCGAAAAGAACAGATAATGGCGACCGTCTGTTGCAGCTATGCTCAGATAACCGCCTATTTCTTGCAAATACTAACTTTAAGCATAAGGAAAAACATCTATTGACATGGCGACCCCCGAACTCGTCCAACGTTGGATCCAATTAGATCACATCGCTATCAGCCACCGATGGAGGGGCTCAATAGAAGACTGTCGCTCATTCTGGGGCACATGTTTAGATTCAGATCATGCTCTAGTGCGAGCACGTATCTGTCTGCGTCTTACTGGTCGTAGGAAAGACACTGCAGGGAAGCCTCTAAGGGTTCTACTTAATGATAGGCAAGCTAAGAATATATTTCAGGAACAGCTAGAAAAACAGTTAGGCAGCCATGTAAGTTGTGTCCACCCCGAGGCAGCGTGGAATGACATCCGAAAAGCTGTGGAAACAGCAGTGATATCCTCTAGTACGGTAAACCATAACGTTAGGGAGAAACAGTGGATCTCGGTAGCATCTACCGCACTGATAGATGCTCGTAAACTCATCCCACCTGGCTCTGAACATAACGAAGAGCGGAGTCAACTTAAGCGCAGGCTTATAAGAAGCCTACGTAATGATCGTGAACAGTGGTGGGTAGCGAAAGCAAGAGAGATGGAAAAGGCAGCGGCAATAGGTAACAGTAGGCAGCTATTCAGACTCGTTAAAGAAACCGGTATTAGGAACCCGAATATCAGTGAAACCATCTCAGATAAAGATGGGCATATTATTCATTCTCAATCCAGGAGATTGGATCGATGGGCAGAACACTTTAGGGATCAGTTCAACTGGCCTTCAGCCACACTTCAATTACCCACGATCCCCAGTCGTCCTGAATGGCAAATTGATGTAAGTCCTCCAACCCTCTACGAGGTTGAAAAAGCTATAGGAAATCTTAAGCGAGGGAGAGCGGCAGGCCCTGACAGGTTGACCTCTGAGATTTTTAAGTATGATGGTCCAGTACTAGCAGTGAGATTGTCTGAGTTCTTAGGTAGAATCTGGGAACTGGACGTAATTCCATCTGACTGGTCCCAATCACTGATTGTGCCAGTCTATAAGAAAGGACAAAAGTCCTCCTGTGACAATCACAGAGGGATCATTTTGACTAATATAGTGTCTAAAATATTAGCTTCAATAATACTAGGTCGCCTAACCAAAGCTCGTGAAGAGCAGACTAGAGAAAACCAGGCTGGTTTTCGACCTGGACGTGGTTGCATAGACCAGATATTCACCCTACGTCAGGTCCTAGAACATAGACATACATTCAGACGTCCCACAATAGTAGTATTTCTTGACCTTAAGGCGGCATTTGACTCCGTTGATCGTGAGGTTCTATTGCAGTGTTTGTCAGTGAAAGGAGTACCAAAGAAGTACATTAACCTCATAAAGGCTCTCTACTCGAACACAACTGGTCGAGTTAGAGCCTATGGCGAACTGTCATCAGAACTGATTACCTCAAGTGGTGTTCGTCAGGGCTGTCCACTCTCCCCATTCTTGTTTAACTTTGTCATTGACATACTTTTAGAGATAGCACTTTCATCAGCTAAACCTCCAGGAGTTGAACTTTTACCAGGAGGCTCACTTGTTGACTTAGAATACGCCGACGACATAGTTTTACTCGGTGAAGACGCTGACAACATGCAGAGTCTTCTGACCACTATAAGCAACTATGCAGGCATGTTCGGGATGCGATTCTCTCCCTCGAAGTGCAAAATGTTACTTTAGGATTGGGTTGCATCGACACCTGAGCTAATGATAGGGAGTGAAGTAGTTGAGCGTGTAGACCACTTCACTTATCTTGGGAGTCTCATCAGCCCTTGTGGTCTGGTATGTGACGAAATCTCAGCACGGATACAGAAGGCTCGTCTAGCTTTCGCCAACTTGCGTCATTTATGGAGTAGGCGAGATATCCGTCTAGCAACCAAAGGACGGGTTTACTGTGCAGCAGTTCGTTCCGTCCTACTTTATGGCAGTGAAACACGGCCAATAAGAGTAGAGGACATTCGTAGGCTACTAGTGTTCGATCATAGGTGTCTTCGAAGTATTGCTCGTATATCCTGGGACCACCGGGTAAGTAATGCAGTTGTTAGGAAACGAGTACTAGGTAAGGATGGCAAATCGATTGATGAAGTAGTGAGACTTCATCAGTTGAGATGACTGGGATATGTGTTACGTATGTCCAACCACCAACTGCCCCGACGTGTAATGTTTTATGGTGTAGGAGTAGGTTGGAAGAAAGCTAAGGGCGGCCAGACCAAAACGTGGCATAAATCCATGAAGTCATTGGCAAGTGCACTGAGCCATGTTGGTAGGTGTAGACTACCTGGTTGGGATCCGTGAGATGATAGCAATCGATGGTTAGAAACCTTGAATGACATGGCTGAAAATCGCTTGCAATGGCGAAGATGCATCCACTCTTTGTGTTCTACCAAATTCTAATCTTAATTCTTCATATCTGTATCCTTTTTCTCTTTCCAAATTTATTTCATTGTATTATACTCCTTCAATAACACCTTCAAACCCTAATCTTTCCGATTACTGCTTATACTTTTACTACTTCTACCATTTTGAGATTTGAATCGACAACTTAATCTCTGTGCTAATGTGGTATGGCAACTCGAACTGATGTACGTACGTACGAAGTTCTACGTTGTGACTGACTGACTGATGCGCAAGCTGTGAATCACTTACGTATTAAATTAAAGTAAATAGTATCTCATAATTTGTGATAAAGTAATTTTTTAATTTCTACCTCGTCTGTGTTTGCTGCCTTTGCGGTCTTTCTGTCAGAAAAATCCAAAAAATCATACACAATCTGGAACCAAAGATGAACCAGTTGAGCCAGTTCGTGAAATGCCTATTTTTAGTACTGATAAAGATCCAAAAAATGACAGTGGATGTGTTATTTCATAATATGGATTATTACAAGATTACCTTCGGAATTCTCTTAACAACTTTATTCATTGATTTAAAAAATTTTGTATCACAGTATGTGTGTTCTTTCCATTTTTTTGAATTTATGACAATCAATATATGTGCTATGGTTAACAAAAGTGTGATGACTATTAATTAGCTTTTAATCTTTATTTTTATTCATGATTTGTTATTTTTTTGTTACGTGATACGTTACTCATTTATGGTATATTTCGTTGAATATATTGTATATATATATATTTACATAAATCGCCAATAGTTTATCTTGTTAAGATATTTATGGGCATTTATCATTTCAGCGTCTTATCGATTCTACTATTTTACATCGTTCCTTCAATGAATTGTAATAGTATTACTTAAGGCCACTACAATAATCTTTGTCCCAATGATTAACGGCAGTGAGAAATAGACCATTTCAATAACGTCTAGTGATAGGGTTTGTATAAATTTTCTAGTTCTATATAATTTTTAGGAAACAAGTTTCACGCAAAAATTATCTTAAGACATTGTGTAATACGAATCGTACTTAAAACATAAAATATTTAGTGAATAATTACAATGATACTCAGTACTTTTCGAGATTCAAAAAAGTAAGTACGTTTTTCTTGGAGAATACTAGTAAAGTTAACAAAATTTAAACAAATATCTAGTCTACAACGTGTTTTCTTTGTCTTAATCTATCAAAGTAGGATCAAAAGAAAGAGCAAAACAATGTTGGACCCAGCATAATTATTTACTTATTCGAATCATCACCCTTCATACGCGTGCAGCAAAGGGAGATTAAGTAGTTAAAAATAATATCTGAATGATGTTGAAAGTATTGGTTATAAAGATGACAGAAAAAGAGGTCAATTCAAAACAACTAACATTTTGAGGACTATAAACAATTTGTTTCTGTTTTGTCAACGTAACACAGACTTGTGAAGTTCGGCTTCATGTAGCAATATTATATCTCAACATCATTTTGACTTTTTCCGACATTCTAGATGCTAATCATTGTGGCTCATTGACGGTCATAAGTGACGCATCTCTTAACCACTTCAGTTTATCAAAGTTAACTACCGTGCAAATCTGTTTCCTTATTTTAAACGAAACCATCACTACTCAATTAATTGTTCCAACACACATTAGCAATACTTCGAAGACATTGCATAAATACTTGCGACTCACATGTCCTCTACTTTCAGAATATGTTTTTCACTCGTGAGAGTTATGCTTATTGGATTTCTTTTCAGTATACAAATAAGCATTCAGCTAGTATCACGGATGACACAAGTTAAATAAACCTAGACGAACTTTTCATACTTGTGCTGAGTTATTGTAAGTCACTAATTTAAGACTTTCGAAAGTCAGAGACACAGCATACTCAACTATTTTACTTCTAACTGTCATACTGGTCATCAATGCAACAGATTATATTTGATGGCAATAAATGTATTTCATCAACTCAGAATGGACACCAGATTGTTGTTGCTGCAAAGGATATGCTCTTCCACAACACTACGCCTTTTAAGCAGAAATGGTTGGCGGCTAGCAGTGGAACCTAGGAGAGGCGTTTCGACTGATTTGGTTCTTGTCAGTTGAGTATACCTGCATCCTAGTGTTGATGTTCCCCCCACGGAACTCAAACTCAGGACTTTCGCTTCAAACTCCATCGCGTTATCCACTTAGCTACTGACTTGTGCAACGAAATAAATTCTAATTCATATAAATTGGTTGTTTGGATATTCTCACTGATGTTTAGTAATATAACTAATCAACCCCAGTCCTGAACATCATTGGTAAGATCGAAACAACCATTATATATCGGTTACTGTAAGAACTCAATCTACACATACTATTGTCATGTTGCGTAATTTCTACTTATTATATCCACAGTACGTCAAACAATTGAAACTACTGGGTTGAAGAATTTATATTTCAGATATACTAGATAGAGATATGCAGTCACTGCTATCAGATGTCGTTTCAGGTGAATGTATATAATAATCCGCGTTTCGGTAGTAATTGGGTTCATCTTTTAATTGAGACTTGCTTGTCTTCCTTGTTCTGTGGTTTGCGTAATCTTCAATATATATTTCTTGTTGTCTAAATCATTGTAATGGAAAGCACAGGTGTTAGCTGATGAAGTGATTGAATTCTCCATACATCATTCAAATCGATAAAAGATTATGAACTTTTATCTAGTTTCTGTTGATTGCGTAGCAACCGCCACGAGATGTTTCTGTTTTTGATTCAAAAATTTGTTTGACTTGAGAAACCTGTCACTTACTTTCTTAAAGTTGTATGACTTCAAATAATGGACAGTATTTATAGACACAATTCTGCTTTCACAAAGTAACCCTTAACATTTTTGTGTTAAACAAATAGTTGGTTTTTGTAAGTATAATGTTTGAGAAATGAACTACCATGTCGTATACGGGAATTCTTTGATTCTTACTGAATATTCTCGTGGAAACTAATATCTCCGGTATCGTGTGATGATGTGTTTACAACTCCGCTAACTATACCAATGTATCAGCAGTTTCTAGTTCGAAATATTTTCAGAAACTCAACCAAAAGCTACGTGGTACTTTATTTTTCTAGATCTCGATCTTCAGGTTTTCTATTAAGTTTTTATTCAGAAGAGTTGAACAATGATCTTGAGATTGTTCTGAACTCAATTAGACTAACTTACTCCGTACACTATTTTAAATGCTTCATATTTATTGGGGAAATTATAAGCTATAAGGAACTTCATAGGTCGTTCAAAGCACCACATCGACATTCTTCGTGAGCTACCCGTTATAAATCTACCTTATAGAGTTCAGAAAATAAAATTTTCGGTGGTTGTGAGATTCGTAGTTGACCCAACGTCGTTTTCAGCACAAGTTGAAATAACTCGCTGTACTGGTGTATGTGAAGAATAACTTAAAAATAGAATTTGAAACTGGATGTTTCGGAAACATACCGTGAATGATTTGTCAACCTTGATACAGACCGGATATTAGGTTTTCTCGCAGCAATTGAAAGAGGTGTTCGGAATTTCATATGAATAGAAAGTCCCGATCCTGTACTAGATAACTAAAAAAACTTCAAGACAACGAATTGTCGTTAGTACCATGTACTTATTGGGTCCTCGTGTTGCCTCTTTCTTATTTTGAGTTGAGACTTCATCACTGCGTAGTATATTTCTACACAACCTGAGTTCATCTCGATTGCCTGAAAGTTCCATTTAGTTGCTACAGAAGCACTAACTGCTTTCTTGTAAAGACCTAAATTTGTTCCGCAGAGTCACAACAGCGTGTTCTAAATCGTCGCGAGATGACGCAGGCAAACGATCAAAGTTTCTTGACTCATCAGTCATAGAACTGTCGACTTTCGAAAAGATTCTAAAGGTGTATATCTTGAAAGGCTCATACCTGTCTAAGCGTTCAGCCATAATAAGAGGGAATTCTTTCACTTTTTCTGAAAACGCATTTAAATACTAAACGTTTTGTCACAAGGGTCAGTGCACATACATTTTGTTTATCAATAATAATATTCTTTCCATAAGATAGTTGTTTCACTGACTCCGAAATAGTTTTGAGTGAATTGCCGTTTAGGTTCCCATATTCAATTATTTTTTCTGATATACTTATCTGAAAATGGCATAACGAGCTTTGTTATCACATCAGCCTACCTTGTTCATTAAGTAATCTGTGGTTTCATTTATGTCGCTTAGCAAATTGCTGATGATCACGTTTGCAAATGACAAGAAGATTTTACCTTAGTTTTAACTCATCATTATGTTCATCGTCTTTTTCTGTAATCGAGCTTGTGTCTTCGCGATCAGAGTGTTTCCAAATATTACGAAGTGAAGTCCAGAAAGATGAGTTCTTGAGAAATCTTTCTGTTTATTTTATGTTACAAAGCTCACATATTCTGAATGACTGTGACTCGACTGGTCTTCGAATTCATCTTTAGACTGATGAATGCTGCTATTAGGTTGAACACTTGAACTTATGTCCTGTGAATTTTGATTGTTTTGAAAACCATCTAAATTAGCACTGATACAAAAGTAGCTGCTGTTAAACGTAAAGTTACTCAAATAATTTGCGTTGGATACAGACTCGCGGAATCTTAAACGACATTTTGTTGTGTTAACTTTACGACATACTTAATTATTGCCATGTAGTATAGAAAAACAAAATCTGAATTAAAATTGCGGGTGCTAAATTCTATCACATTCAGTTCCTCTTCAGGTGGGTCATCTGTCCATCAAAAGCATGATAACAACATTTGGTCAGGAAAAATTCCTTTCCTCGAAATCACTGTCTAGATTTCACGATAGGATTGATGATGCAACAGATGTTCTAGTTTTACAACTAGCTACCAGTAGCACCTCCTATATTTGATCGTTCCCAGTCAGATAGAAAATCAGAAGTCAAACGAGAAGAGGCAGGAAAGATATATTTGATTCGTTACCAATATATCGAGGACCTTTTCTATGAGCTGGCTAATGAAACGTAGGAGCTGTGTCCCACGCAGTATTGAAACGTGATCTGGTGCGGATGCATGACCGAAAGCCTTCAGCTAAACAAGTCCACTTAAACAACGTGGTCAGCATCCAATGTCGAACACTTAATGAGCTATTGATTTTGGGGAATTATTTACAGCTACAGATCACTCCCCCCCTAGTGAGGTAGTGATGCCCCTAAGACGTGACCAGCCAGAAGTTTAAACCCAACGAATTTGTCGTTGGTAAACACTCTTCTGATAGCTTGCTTCGTTTAGCAGCGTCTGGTCGTCTTTCCTTAAACTATGGGACCAAAATGTACAACGTAGCAAATAAAGAAATATAGTACAATGAAAATTTCTGTTCCTTGCGAAACTTCGTCGTTCTTTTCCAGCCGTCCTGGAAAAGAGGAAAAATAAAACGTGTGAGTGCATGTCAAAAATACACTCGTACTTGCGTAAGGACACAAGATGAGCGGAAAAAAATAAACTGATACACTTACAAACAGCGTAAAAGCGATCGGAAAAAAGGTTTTCTTTTGGTTTTTTTTCAATATATAAATATATATATATATACGCTCAAAAAAATGTTGTTTTTTTTTGTTTTTTTTACATAAATAAAAAAATGAGCATATTAAAAAAAATTTATAATAAACTTTGAAAGGGTAATTCAAGATAAAGCTTATGTCCTACGTGCAATATTCGTTAAGATGTTCTGGAAATCTTACTCGTCTTCCAGAACGCGTTGTTTTAGGTTTTTCTATCGACGTTGACGAAGTATCAAGTTGTGTGTCGGTTGTCGTGTAGGGTACTACGAGTGTAGTAGCTGTGTCGTTTGCTTGTACCGAAGGAAAATCGACGTAGCTAGGGTTTCCTTCTAGGTACGCAGCTTTGAGTCGATCGATACTGATGCTATCTTTCGTACCGTTCTTATCAACTACATAGTACTTAGGTTCGCGTTGAAGAACTTTGAAGGGTCCTTCGTATGCTGATTCGAGGGGTCGTCGATGTGAGTCTCGACGAACGAAGACGTGTGTACTATGTCGTAATTCGGGTTGATCGAAAACATCAGTTGATTGAGGTCGAGTGTGAGCAGGATTAAGTGAACGCATAGCGTTTGTAAGGCTACTTGTGTAAGAGTTTAGATCCATGTTCAATGAACAAGCTGAAGGATCCACGAATTCTCTTGGGAGTCGGAGTGTCGTTCCGTAAACGAGTTGAGATGCCGTGTATCCAATGTCAGCTTTCACTGCATTGCGGATACCTAGCAAGACGAGTGGAAGAGCGTCTGTCCACTGTGAAACGTTTGAAGCTGATAATGAAGCTTTTAATTGTCGATGAAAACGTTCTACCAACCCGTTTGCTTGTGGGTGGTAGGCGGTCGTTCGGAAGCGCGTGATTCCTAAAAGTGTGGTCAGACAACGGAACAGTCCAGATTCGAACTGGCGTCCGCGGTCTGTAGTGATGGTTGAAGGGCATCCGAAATTTGCTACCCATCGTTCGACGAAAGTGCGAGCCACTGCTTTAGCAGTAATGTCCTTAATCGGTACTGCTTCTGGCCATCGAGTAAAACGGTCTACGCATGTTAATAATAATAATAATATATTTCTGCATTAGCAGGTACACGCCATTTTTACAGGCATGATCTACAATTTACAACATATACTGGTTCACATTATGCATCCCAAGCAAGGTTGTTTAGTAATTATAATCTATAAAAGTTGATAGCAGTTCATTCGTTCAGATATAATGTGTTTTCATAAGAATAGTATCCAAAGGGGCATAGCGTCCACGTTATATACCAGATCCAATCTCGACAAAAAGTGTATTAGGGTTTCGGTAGTTCTAAGTATTTATGTAATGCAGCTTTTTAAGTTTATAGTTGTTATAAAGTAGGCTTAAGGAGCGCCTGGTTTGAGCTATGACCTTGGGAAAGCGCGTTCGTCGAGCTTTTTCCAGATGTCAGAAGTTACATAGCTTCACCCTCAGAGCAAGATTCTGAAGAGAAAAAATAAAAGAGAAACCGAGGAGCAGCAAGGCATCTGGATATGAGCGATAATCAATGCTTAACATTTATTAGTGGAACAGATGGAGGTATGATAAATTATTAGAATAAATTGATACTAGCTCATGTTGCAAGAGTAAACTGCGATTAGGGTCTCCAGAAGAGAGAAGGCAGTAATAAAGAACAATGAGTTGTGATATTTATCAATGTGGAGTAGGTTCCAATGAAGGAGGGAAGTCAAGGTTGGAATGAGGAAGAACAGAGAGTGCATATAGAGAGTAGTGTTAAGTAAAATAGAAACCATATCCTTTACAGTCAGTTTTTTTTTCTTTCTTTTCTCATCCGATGCCTGCCACACAGTGTTCATGTAAAAGTCCGAGTTAGCATGTTAAAGGTTGTCTTAGTAGAATAGTTAATCCAGCACAAAAATTGGAAACATGAGTCTTAATGGTGAGTGTAGGTGAACAATCTCAATATCACAGATCTATTGACTTGTTCTCATCCATAAAGAGCCTGATACAAACAAAATGTTCTGCCCCACAAACACGAGTGGATTGGAATTATCGCCCACACCATCAGTGCTTGCTGGTCAGTAACTCCGCCCTCCCTCCTTTTGTGATGTTAGGCTCATTTACGATTATTTTTTGGATATATATCATACCTCACACAATGCTCTGTGTTTCACATCCTGTTGGAAAACACTATTTCTATAAGTACCATGTTACAAGCTTATCAGACAGTTACAAATTATGGACTGTGGGTAAGGCTTCGATGCTATGTTTTTATTGACTATATAGTGAAGTGTAGGTTACGAATCAGAGTATAGGCATTAGGAAGGGTATAGTGTAGAATATTTCTTTACCATAGTAGGCAGAAAAATGGAGATTTATATTAGTTACAGATAAGGTAAGATAACGAGTGGTGAAATAATATTGATGGCAAGGCAACATAGTGTACAGATGAGTAAAAAACTGATAAATAGACAAGAAGTAACTCACACTAAATTCGCGCTGAGGTTGTTTTGTTCTATGCTAACCGGTTGATGGGTGGCAGTAGTCAGTCGATTGTGCGTTTCTTCTGGTGTTTTAGGGTATTTATGGGCGTCGTTTAGCGACCGAGTATTGATAGATCCAGTGAGTTGTCTGTCTACTTCAATTGGAAAGAATTAATGAGGGGAAAGTATCTAATACAACTACAAGGTAGGGAAATAAGGCGATTCAGTCTATATATGTAGAGAGCCTATGATGTCTGTGTGGGACGTGGATGTGTTCGTTTGCACCAGATCTATGCTGGTGAGGGGTTGATTAATGAGTCTTGTAAACGTATGTAATTTGTCTGCCATGCGTACTTCAGAAGGCAGACTGTTCCATATCAATGCGTACTTGATAAGGAAGAAGTTTTCACGTGTTTTTGATCTGTGTTTTTCAATTTTGACAGTGGATACTTTGTCTCGAAGGTTGTATCCATGTGAGTCTTGGTAGAGAGCTATATTACATGTGGAATAAGTAAGGTTTTTAAGGAGTTTAAAATAAAGAATTAAGTTAGACCTAAGCCTTCTTTTCCAGAGGGGTTCTAGTCCTAAGATATGGCATCTGGATTTGTAGTCAGTGAGTTGGTCATTCTTAAGTATTTTGCGAGTGAAGTCTCGCTGTATTCCTTCCACCTTAAGTATATCAGATAGGCGTAGGTTGGAAAATAAGAACGAGCAGTATTCGACGATGGGTCTTACGCAGGTTTTATACAGGATGATTTTAGTTTCCTTTTGAAAGAAATTACGAAGGATGAAGCCAAGCAATCTCCGCGTTTGAGATGCTTTAGTTGAAATATGTTCAGAGAAGTTAAGACTGTCGGAGTAATGTACCCCAAGGTCAGTTACTGATGTCAGTCTGAGCAGTGGGTTTTTGTTAAGTGCTAGTTTTAATTTAAGTGACGTGTTACCAATACATAGCCAACCGCATTTCTCTGTGTTGAGCTCTAGCCCCCAGCGTTTGCACCAGTCGTCTACTTTGTTGAGTTCATGTTGGATCGTTTGCATAGTACTTCGTACATCACCAATGTCAGTTTTATAGATGACTTTTAAGTCATCAGCGTAAAGGTCGGTCTTACCTGTAGTAAAGCACTTGCATATATTGTTGATATAAATTATAAAGAGCAATGGGCCCAAGACACTACCCTGCACAACACCACTGGTTATTGGTCGAGGTGTAGATGTTGTAGAGTTAAGCTTGGTTATTTGGTATCTGTTTGTGAGGAAAGACTTAATCCATTGCAATAGGGGGTTTATAATTCCAACTGACTGGAGTCTGTTGATTAGAAGATTATGGGGTACTTTGTCAAAGGCTTTCTTTATATCGAAATAAAGTATAATCACTAGCTTTTTCTGATCACGTATGCGAGTAACCTCGTTAAAGAAGTCTATCAGACATGTACTACATGGTCTTGTTCTAATGAAACCATGTTGTGTTGGGTCTATTAGTTCTTCCTTAAGTAGGTGATCTGATAGTTGACTTTGTATCACTTTTTCCATTATGCGCGAAATAACTGGGGTGATATTTATAGGTCTGTAGTTTCCGACCAGGTTTCTCGGTCCTGATTTGTGTTTGGGAAGAACATACGTTACCTTCCAGGCTT